CAACGACATGCGTTTTCTCTGTTTCGATGTGATATCACTTGCCACGCGTCCATCTCTTAATGACTGTGACCCCTGCATTCCAGTACGTTCTGACACTAATTGTGTAAGATGAGGTCATGATGAATAGCCTAGACTAGCCTAGGCTAATGACCTGTACGTCAATAGCTTATCCTGGAGTAGAGGAAGCGTCCAGGACGGGGTACCTCTCGGCACCGAGGAAAGGCTCATCTCGAGGACCGAGGGAGGTATGCCGACCGAGGTACATATCATACCGAGGCCACGTGTTGGTTGTAAAATATACTGAATGCATGATCCTATATGACGAGTACCTCGGGGGCGAGGACCTTTGCGTGCCGATGGTGCTTAATCTTATCAACAATATTTTAGTAATACCGAAGACACGTGTCTTCATCATAGAGTATCTCAGAAAAGTGTCATCAACTAGCATCGTGTTTGGTTCGAAAGGCTTCATGTTTTCTGTCATTCTTCTATTTAAAATCCTTGTCAAAGTCATATCGAAGCTGCAATTAATCTTCTTAGGCATTTCGCGGGAACAACAGACCGTGACATTCTGTTTGTCTTCTTGCAGTTCTCTTCACTTCTAGGTTGTCTTTGTTGATATTACTTTTAATTTTCCTCGTATTAGAGTCTTTCATGTTGTCTCAATAATGTTGGTGATCGGTGAGGGAATTAGTCGATGTGCGTATAAAATTAGTCCAAACAACTTTGATCATTGAACCAATAATAATAATAATAATGGTGGTGACTGGTATGCACTTTTTCAACTATCAGACAAAAGTGTTACAGTCTAAACTGAGTATGTTCTACCCCAAAACAAATTATATTGAACCGTGACATTCCAATTTGCTATTTTTTCCCTTGATGTTTCTGATAGTTGCCAAGAAAAAATGAAAGAAAGAACTGTGAGAAATTACGCTAATATCATCACATGATATAGCTACGTAATGATAAATAAATAAATAACTAGATAATATTGACGTTAAGTTATTATTGAACGGTTACGTTGCATGACAATACTGACGTTGGAAAAAAAAATAAATAAAAAATAAGGACCAAATGATGTAACTTGTCTTTTCTACTTTATCCAAAATTTATAGATTTATGAATTTATCAATACAATCATAAAAAACAATGTTAATATGTTACAAACATTTCTCTTTTGCTTGGACTCCAAGATAGTGTTGTGAATACCGATAGATTTTTGATCGAATGGTACTCTTTATATTGTAAAAACTTAGGTCAAGGGAAAAAAAAAAAAAAAAAAAGAAAAAAAAAAGATAGTGTTGTGAAAATAAGAAATTTACATTTTTTTTTCATTTTTTGTAATACCGAGAAACATTTGTAAACCTATCTGGGTAATAAAATGCAAGGTCCTAGAGGTTAATTTCCTCAAGTTCTTAAGATTAATTCTCCTAAAAAATATTTTAATTAACTTGACATACATAATTTACAAGTAATTATACGCATTCGGATAGCAACCTCGAGCCCAAGTAGCATGTGATTGGAAAAGTTTTCGATTAGATTAAGAAGAAAAAAAAAAAACTTGCAATGCCTCTATTTTTGTATTAAAAAATATTATTAAATTTTACTTTTTTTTTATTAGAATAGAAAAATATCATGTATCATCAAAGATAACAAACTTATTAAATTCTCACCGGCAGTTGTACGCAGTGTTTCACATGTTGCACCTGTTTTGCCACGGTTGCTCGATTGTGACCCACAACTACAAGTCCTGGTGTATAAATTCTTTCTAAAGTTGCGGCTTTTTGGTATAACTTTGAAATTACATATTTAAAATTTGTAAGGTAAAAATTGTACTTTGCACCAGTAATTAATTCAAAATTTGGTTAAAAGGCCAAGAGCTTGTGAATCTTATTCTCACATATTTTCTCGAGAATATGTTAGATACATAATTGAACATTAAAAACAAAGATAAGTTATAATTTACGCTCTTAAAGAATGCACCCGATTCTTATTTGGTGTTTGAATTTCTAATTACAATAATCAAAATCTTAGAGATTTTATTGAGCTTTAATTTAATCCTTATATCAAAATTCACCAATTCATTATGACGGAATGGTCTTCCATGACCAAGAGGTCTATTTATCCGCTGAAAAATTTGTTTATATATAGGCTAGAAAATATTACTTTACTTCATTTAATTTTGAGAAAAAGAAGAAGATAATAAACCCGAAAAAAAAAATATTTAGAGTGAGGTTGTGAGAGATATTGTGAGACAAATAGAGAAATATTAATGTATATATGAGAGTTTTTTCTTGGAAAAATATATCTTTATGGGCAAGACATGTGAGTTCTTTTTGTCAGAACAAATGAATAATATATGGATGGAATGGCTGGATTGAAATTTGGTTAGAACTTTAAAGATGTAATTGTATCAATTGAAAATTTAGGGACCAAATAAAAATTATTTGCATACTTAAAAGGTATAAATTATAAGTTACTCTAAAATAATTAAGAACTAACAATGTCGAAAATTTTGACGGACAACACAACAATTTGGTGCAAAATGGTTAAATTGTTTGGAAATCACCCTACATAGTATTTGTTATTAGAAAAAAAAAATGAAATTGATTTTAAAATTAGAAGAGAAAGTCTATCTGATATTCCTATGAAAAGGTGCAAAATTGTGGTAAGTATATAGTCTTGAACTAATTCACAACATTATTTTTGAAGTAACACCTAATTGCTTTAATATTTCATATGTGACAATTCCGCAAAGATCTCTTGGGAAAAGAATCTGTCCCAATTAGATATTTTGGGGAACGTATCAAGAGATAATTTAACTTGGTTAGACAATGTATAGTTGAGAAAGGTAAACAAAGATCGATTGTTTATTAGGGTACGGAGTGTATTGTCAAATATTTAATATAATTCCACAAAATCTAGTTTCATTCAAGTAATAGATTTTAATCAATTGAAGGATTTTCTGAGCAATTCAGAAATCATTTGGATTCCATTAGTAATGATCTTGTAATAGAAACGGAAGACTTATTAAATTTTTTTATTAAAACTATTTTTTGCCCTTCAAGTTTACGTCATGTCTCGCTTTGGTTGGTCCCTTTTTTTTTTTTAATTATGCCGTATTACATTACACTAAGTAGACTTGTGTGTCATTAAATAATCTGAGAAATGTCACATTTGCCAATTACCCCCCTCAAAAAGTTTTCAATTATCTAATACTTTAATTGGTGATGTGTGTTTAAATTGAAGTGCACTTGGTATTTTTTTTTTAAAAATAGGGATGTAATTGACAAATACGTGATTAAGAAGCTAAAGTGATATTTTGTGTATATTTTAATCCTTAAAAGTACACATATTTCGTTCCTTATTTAAATGTCCATAATTGATTTGACATTTTACAATATAAAACATGATATGTTTCAATAAGTTTATTCGACGATATCAAATAAACTCATTCAATGGCCAACAATATCCATCTCAAAACCATTCACATTGCACCATACCTTTAAGTACATGTTACTCCTTACTTTAAACATAATTGAAAACTTTAGGGTTTAGAGTGGCACAAGTGAAAAAAACGAGAATCAAAGTGAGACGTAATGAACACACTAACATTGGATAAGTTCATTATGAGAAGAGCATAGGTGATAATCATATATTATGTGTAATGACATATTGTGAATGGATAAGGCTATGATACCGATGTTAGTATCATACCATGATTCATTTCAACCATTAATTTTGAGTTGAATTATTTACGATTGCTAATTGAAAAAAGTGATAAAGTAAAAAAGAATAATGAAGTGTGAAATCTTTAAACGGAACACATTTTTATTAGATAAAAATTAAAAAAATATGATATGAGCCTCCTTGTCGTAAATGTCATTCACATAATTACCCTTTTTTTTAATGATATAATCAAATTAATGCTTCAAGAGAACGACTGCCTTTTTATTTCATTAATCGAATTATCATAATTTTTGAGATTCACCTATTCTCCAAAAATTGAGAGATAGTTTGAAGGATTAATACCATTTTTAGCCCCTAAAATATGTCCGTTTTATCAATTTAATTCTCATTATATTTATTTTGATAATTTAATCTCTAAAGTTTTAATTCATGTCATTTTGATTCCTAATCAAACAATTCTTTAAGTTTTTTGACCGAAATGATCATATATTATTCTTTCAGACTGTATCACGTACCAAACACATGGTCATTCCGTCAAAAACTTAATAATCTGTCAATGTAGGGGTCATTTAAACACAAATTATATACATTAAGAACTTAATTAGCAAAATCAATACTTTAAGAACCAAATTGATAAAATGTGCATACTTTAGAAATAAAAAATGCTATTAACCCTAGTTTTAAAAAGATTGATAAATTATATAAAAGTTTAAGTTTTGGAAAAGGTCCCTATTTGTTGAAACTTGACAATAATTAAAAATTTTCAAAAGTTAAAAAAAAAAAAACTAAAATATACTTTCAAATCCTCTTGGACTGCATGTCAGAATGGGCTTTCACAGAGCAGTAAGATAAATTTCCTATTGAATTTATATTAAATATAGTATATATAAGTCATATCATGTCAAAATTGATTCGATCCTTATTAATATTTGTATTGCTTATGTCGTGTATAAGTTATGTATAATCGGCTTCGTGAGGTGTCTAGACAGGCTCATGTTGTCCCATTTGTTACTAGGGTCGATAAGGATAAGACATTAGTGACCAAAACCTATTAGAACTAATCTAATTTTTGACGATGTCTTGTTGATTGTTTATTTGATTAGTGAGTTGAGGTTAAGAATTATCAATTGTTTATTTGATTAGTGAGTTGAGGTTAAGAATTATCAATATTTTTATAAGTTTGACGCATGAAAATACTGGAAAAAATCAGATATTTTTGACTTTTTTTTTGTCAGATTACGCAATAACAAAGCTAGTGTGTATTTTGGTTGAGAATAAGCAATAGGGCATAATTCTTCTATTCATCATCGGATTCATCCAGGTTTGATGTCACATTTGCATCGTACGAGATTCGGAGAAGTGACTTTCTAGATGAATCTAGTGGTCTGAGCCGATGACAGACCCTCCAATTGGTCAATGCCAAGCAACATCAAGTGTTCCACACAAGAAGCCAAGGGCCCTTGGAGTCAGAGAGTGGTGGGTGGGCGTTCAAAACGCGCTTACGAATCACACAATTTACCCACAAATCAAGAACAAAAAGTCAAACAATTGGAAAAGTGATTAATGCTTACAGGAGCAGCTGAAGTCAAAAGATTGGTCGATTATTAAGGTTGCAATCTTAATTAAGACAATTGAATTACATGTCAAAAGGCTGACGCAAAGAGAAAAGTGCCAAATGTACCAAAGACAGACCACCACCCAAAGAAAAAAGTGAAAAACCACTCGACCCTTTACATACCTGTCTTTGTTTTCTCTCTCTGCATTGTTATATCTGTATACTTTCTCTCTCGGACTAGACTGTGGGCGTTCTGACAGGTAATCTTCCAAGGATCCTGACTTATTCTTCTTAGGTTGGTCTCTCCTAGATTCTTCCATTTTTTGATCTTTATCTGAACTGGGTTTTTGAGGTTCAAGCTGCTTGTGGAATTTGTTGGTGTAAAAACATAATCCTCGGCGGTCAATTACTGGGTTTTGTTGTTGTTGTTGTTGTTGTTGTTGTTGTTGTTATTTTCAGTTAATTTTTGGATTTTGAAGCTTTAATTCTTGTTGGGTTTTGGTTCGTATTCTTGAATTGGAGTGTGATTAGTTTTAATAATGATTCTGGTGATTCATATTTTGTGCTTCTCTCATTCTTGTTTGGTTTTGGTTTGTGTTCATGAATTTTAGTTCGATTAATTTTAATTGTGATTCTGATCATATTCCGAGAGTTTATTTCTGCTTGTTTCTCAATTGCCTGATGGGTTATTGCTCTGATTCAATTGTGTGTGTATCTGTATTTGTGTATCTTTGTGTTTTTACTTCAGTGTGGTGCGAATGTTTGAATTGGAGAACGTGGTGGTGTATTTGTGATTTTTAGCAGGATCAAAGGTGGGGTACTTTGGAGGAGGGATAGACAGTAGACAGATATGGCTAATGATGCAGCAGCTTGTGCTGAGAGGGCCACAAGTGATATGCTGAATGCTCCAGATTGGGAAATAAACATCCAGCTATGCGATATAATCAACATGAATCCTGGGTATTTTTATTTTTCTTGTACAATTATTCATCATTGATTGTTATGTGAAATATTGAAATCAATATGTGCTAAACAACTTTTAGGTTTGATAAAGAGTGAGCTATATCATTACTTTGGCCTGATTATTATGTGAAGAGAGAGATTGAGATGACGATGTTTGTATGACAAGAACTTTTGGCATGTTGCGTAATCTATGTATTTTGATGAAGGATAAAGACAGGTTTTATACACCAAAGCTCTTTGGGATTCAGTGAAGAGCAACCAAAAAATAACCTATTAATATAAGTGCAACTGAAGGGCCCTAGGATATCTTCTCCTGCAATTAAATGGAGGATTCCACATGACAAAGCAAACCCCCAGTAGGCACAATACAAATAATCTATACAGCTTTAACATCTTCTGGCCAATGTAATTTGAAAAAAAGAATTGCATATTCTTTTGTATCTCATATGGGTTTTGCGGATGTTTATTAGGCAAAAAGATGAATAAGGTGTTAAAACTTTAAGGCAATAGAGGTAGCACCAATTGTAAATAAATTACGATATAATCCACAAAGATGGTTTGGTTATCTGTCATGAGGATCAATAATTACACCAGTTCGGAAGATTGACTCAATCACCTTTAATGGTAAGATTTGGGTAGGGGCAGACCAAAATGAACTTTAATTCTACTCAACTCAACTCAACAAAGCCCTAATCCGAACTATTCTGGGTCGGCTAACCACAATGAACTTCAATTAAATAGTAAAATAAAGGCTATTGCTTAGTTCAATGGTGAAGTGCTTGGCATATGAAGCATGAGTGTACAAGTTCAAGTATATGGCAGACACTTCATGTATTATGTCAATGTTGATTCTTTCTCTTGTCCATCCCTCCAAGTTCTATTGTTAGCAGGGATAATAGCTTTCCAGTTAGCAAGAAAGCTATGATCATGTACTTCCCTGGACAGAATTCAGTGGATAAATTTGATTCACTTACTAAGCATCCCCAATTAAGGAGGGTTTGCAAAACAAAATCTGAAAATTATGAGCCACAAATTTTCCTTGGAACCGAAGGTTAAGATGGGTTTGAAGCATATCCTAAAAGTACAGAACCTGCGAAAAAAGTGATTTAGGGAGTGAATATTTTAATTCGATTGAATATTCACAAGGAATGTGGTTCATATCTTTGTTTGAAAGAATAAATTTACATTAAATGAGTGAAGAACAATAGAAGAGTATTGTGCATATAGCGTTTCAGAAAGTTGGAAGAGGAAGAAGGGGTAGACGTGAAATGTGAGAAAAATGGAAGTGATAAGCATGCCTGTGGTTGTGAGATGATATTGCTGCCATACCATTTTGCATATTGCTAAAACTAGGTTGAATTTTTAATTTATAGGTGATACTTGGTATGGTATCTACATTCTCTGAAACCAGTCTTTTTATGGTAGAAACTAAATATTTTGTTCCCCTGTTAGCACCTTGCAACAACTTATAATGCCTATAGTGTTTGATGGTTCTTCAATTGCTGGCAAGGATGAACTTCACAGGCTTTTAATTTGTACTTACCTTCTAGTAGTGTTCCCTAAGCTTTTTTTTTTTTTTGCCTTTTGCTGTGCCTACTCTTTGATAAATTTCTTCATTATATGTTGTGATGTTTCCATAGTCATTAGTATCGTACGATACGTCACGATATACCTTAAAAACGATACATATCATATCTCTATATCGTTTCTGCACCATATTGTACGATACACGATACGATACATACGATACGCCCGATATGTGAAGATTCTGTATTTTTTTTTTTTTTTGGTTTTTTGGAGTTGAAATGATATCGTTTTACCCCAACACTTATTTTTAAATCACTAGCTAATGAAATAACGTCATTTCAGTGGTTATGAATTAAAAAAAAAATAAAGTCTGTTGTGAATGTTGTTCAATTGAATTCAAAATTCCTGATTAATATTAAAGTTGTTCAAGTAGTTGATGTTAAAAGTTTGAATTAGAGGTTTTTGCATTTTAATATTACTGAACTATGTTGAGAACCTGAATAGTTGATGGAATATTAATGAAATGCTATGTTATTATGAGTTTATGACTTTTTTTACAAAGGTATATACATATAATTTATTAATAATTATTTAAAAATTAAAATTGCGCGTATCTTACGATACACGACACGATACGATACACTTTTTTAAAAAAACGATACGCCTTCCGATACACGATTTGACAACTATGGATGTTTCACCTTTTTCTTGTGTGTAAATATACACTATAAGGCATGAGCATGCGTGCTACGCGTATCAACTAATTACTATCATGTGTTGATAGTTGTAGCTGACTTATGGTGGTTTGCTACCTAAGTTTTGAAATAACTTTAAGTTTGTACCTGTAACTGTCTATTCTCTACACTATGAGTATGCATGTTTTGATTGTGTGTGCTCCATAACAAGGTCCATTCACCAGCTTTTTGGGGCAAGTGCATTCTATTCTTTTATCTCTGTGTTGAGGAGTCTTTTCCTAATGAATTCGAAATGGAATTGAAAGCTTTGAATCCTGTTCTTTTACCAAAAATATTTATGGGCATCCCCTCAACCTCAAGTGCTTGGTAATTGTAAATGGTATGATCCTTTTTCGACCATCAATGGTATGATATCCTGAAGCTGTTACTTTTTGTGGTTTTGCTCCACATCGTTTTCTACTTCAGAACCAGTTTTATGCTTTCTAAATTTGGATATTTTAAGTTTTGATTCCTCCCTTATTTCCTTACCGTGTTAAATTGATAATGATAAGTGAACTGAATTTGATTTTATTCCTTTTCTGCCATTGGATTGGATAAAAATTGCAGGCAAGCAAAGGATGCCCTGAAGATACTCAAGAAGCGTCTTGGGAGTAAAAATCCTAAAATACAGCTCCTTGCTCTCTTTGTCAGTATTTTCATTTCCTTTATTTTCGTGATATAGTTCCTTTTCTATTGTTTATTTCAATATCTATACGTTTTATAGTGTACGAAAACATTCAAACAAACATGGTTTCCATATTTTATTTCTGTTGCGATGAAGGCAGACTAGTCTATTAATTGGCATGTGCCAGAGTTACCAAGTGTTCAACCACCATAACTGTTTCAATACGTATATTGGAGAAATTCTGGCACAATTATAGTCATAGTAGGACATTTCATTGCAGTGATTATTTGTGAATTAAAAGAACAGTGACTAGAGGTAGCAAACTTTTGGAACCTGCTCATAAAGTCCGTATGTGCTTTCATGAATGTACGCAATATTTCGGCTTTGCAATATTGAGTGTCGGTCAGTTTAAGATAAGCCAACATAACTTGGTTGCAGTAGCAAAATCAAAACTCCAGACTAGATATTACTTTGTTTCAGCTTTTAGCATATGAGTTATGCATGTGGCCACTTACTGGATGGATGTGTTGCTAATTTGTGGGGACACAACAATAAGCATCCTAGACACAAATAATGCAACCATATTCGAACGTAATGAAATCTCTGATTTAGGTGTTGGAGACTCTTAGCAAAAATTGTGGGGAGAATGTGTTTCAGCAGTTTGTCGAGCGGGACATCCTACATGAAATGGTCAAAATTGTGAAGAAGAAGGTGCCAATTATATTCTTTCATGATTCTTTTTCCCATTGTGATACTAATATTTCCTGTACTCTAATTTTTTAATTTTAATTTGTGCAGCCAGATTTGAATATAAGGGAGAAGATTTTAATTTTGATAGATACATGGCAAGAAGCCTTGGGAGGACCCAGGGCAAGGTATCCGCAGTACTATGCTGCATATAATGAGCTGAAGGTGATTGATCAAATCATTAAATATATTTTGGCTTTTCTACTTGGGCATCTATTTTCTATGAGAAATCATGTTTTCACCTTAGACTAATAGAAGCACTTTAATTAGAACACTTTCTTGGGAAGGTGAACTGTATTTTCAATTTTGTGTGTATGTTTCTTTGATGCTACTTCATTCTTGGTCTACATATCTAGTTTGGTTCATGTGATAGTTATTATAACTTCGCCATACATTTTAGTCATTTTAAATCCTCAAGTTCGACCATTTCTTTGCCTTGGTTTATGTGGTTTGGGTTGTCTTTCCCAGTTTGCTGAATTCTGGGCTACCTGATTTTTGCAGTTTATATCCTAGGTTTATTTGTTTAAGTTTCACTGGTGTAAATTATTCATATGAATTGGATTTTGGGTTGTTTATTTTGATTGTGAAGTACCCCAGAATTTTATGAGTATTACAAAGTTGGACAATAAATTGTACCAGTTAACAGGTTTAAATTGAATGTGGCATTGAATAGCCGATGATAATAAGTGGCAGCTTTCTATAGATGTTTACAAGTGGCGTGGGAAGGATGCTTCCAAAGCCCAAGCCCTGATTTGGCATGTGTTGGATGATGCTGCCCCTGGATGGGATCTTGCATGATTTAGTACCGAGTCTTATGCAAAGTTGTATTTATGTTTTATTTGACTTTTATTCTTCTGATTCAATCTTATACAGGTTTATAATGTTTATAGGAGTCAGGAACATATCTATAATTGCAAGAATGTTATGGAATGTGTCGTAGTAGTTGGGACTTATTCTGACTCTTTTTATGTTTTTGGTTCACATTAGTTGGTGTAGTTGGGTTAGACCAAGGATACGGGACGCAATCAACCTATGCATGCAGGGATGGAGCCAGAATTTTTTTTCTAGGTGGGCACTTTAACGACAAGGTTTAATATTTTTCTTCCTATTGACAAAAGTAAAATAATATTATTATACCTATTACATCATATTAGATACATAAAAATTCATTGAACACAAAAGAACCAAAAGTCGATCATTTACAGAAAAAAAAGACTAATTACAACCTTTTGCAAAAAAATTGCAATTGACCAGATTTTTTATATTTTAAAGCATTGTACAATAATTTCATTGTTGGTGTCATAAAAAAAAATCTTTTCCTATATATAATCAAGTTATCAGTCATTATCCTTTGATATCCATTCGGTTATACAATCAAATTTTTACAATCTTAGCTTTTAATTTATCTAACAACAACGGGTAAGTTGTGGAAAAATAGAAATAGTAAGTTGTAGAAAAATAAAGACCGCAAGTCGTAGGAAAACAAAGACTAATTGTAGACTAATCTTTAAAAAATTTCATTTTTAAATTGAGAACGTAAATCCAAAAGCCTCATAATATGTATTCACAGTCAAAGATTGAAGAAAATTCAGAAACTATAAAACTAACCAAATATGTATTTATAGATCAATCACAACTCATGTTCTCATAAAATACCATCTTAAGATAAAAGTGATATGGTGGGCACCACAAAATATATTTGAATAATGTTTAAATTCATATATCTCGATACATATCAAAAAATTTTGAAAAACAATTGACTGTCCCTTACTAGATCCGCCCAGGCATGCATCTCATGGTACTAGTTCACACGACCCAAATGGGATGGGTTGGCGACCTAGATTATCCAAATTCTCGACCCCAAATTGTGATTGTTATTGGTATTTTGATGATTTTCAAACTTCTATATTATTTGTTTTGATTAAATTTTTTTAATACAAAATGCAATTATTAGTTTTGTCGGTCACAACCATTAGCTGACAAGTTTTTGGATTATGATTGGCTTTCAAACTTTTGTTGTAAATATGATAAATATTAATTGAATTTGTGGGTGTAGATGCATAATTATACATGATTTGAAGTAGTAGAGGGGGTGATCCAAGTAAAATGTTCCCAAATGATTGTGAACCAAAACAACGTGTGAACTAAGTCTACCTCTGTTGCATTGCGTATTGGAGAAAAAATTGTACCGTGTAGTCGTACTTGTAGCACGTACCAACTCCTTGTAACATCGAGTTAGACTCAAGGATCAAAATGTCGTGTCGACACATCCGAAACGTCCGAAACGTTTCGGAATTTCAACACTCCAAAACGAAACAGTAGTTGAATCACAAAATTCCAGTGTTTCGGTTGAAACGGTACTGTTTCGGACCGTTTTGGTCGAAACGGCATTGTTTCGGACCGTTTCGACAAAACAGTGATATATTTGGTTTATTATGAATAATTACATTTAATACCCCATTATAATTACATTTAATACCCACTGTAATTACATTTAATACTCACTATAATTATATTTAATATCCCACTATAATTACATTTAATTCCCATTGCTCTTCTGTCTTTTATAATTTTTTTGTTATAAGAATAAATAATTAAACTTAATACCCTACTATAATTATATTTAATACCCATTATAATTATATTTAATACCTACTGTAATTATATTTAATACCTTACTGCTGTGCAAGTTTTTTGCTTTTTTTTTTTGTTATAAGTATTAACAATTACATTTAATACCCTAATGTAATTATATTTAATACCTACTGTAATTACATTTAATACCCATTGCAATTACATTTAATTTTTAAGTATACATGAGTATCATTAATTTAATTTGATACCCTTCATTATTAGTATTATAATAAAATAGTATTATTAATTGGATAATATTACCGTAATAATATGATTTGGAGTAACTATTGTCATCATATTTATGTCACATATGGAGTTTCTCTAAGTAACTATCCAGAGCTTACACCGATGTATGAGCCTGCTCGACACTCCACAGGGGGATGGATGTAACCATGTAAGTATGTACTCATTAGCATTTCATGTGTATTATAAGACCTTAATATTATGTAAAAATGTGTTTATTTCATAAAAATTAAGTGTTTGAAACTAATTTAAGTGACTTTCGCCTCATGTCAAGCCTTTTTTTCCCTCAAATTTAAATTTATTCTTGTATAAATTGATGTTAACCTAATAAATATATTGAATTAATCAATTATTTAGCATATTTTTATAAATTAATGGATTGTATTTGTGTTTCTATGCGTTTCTATATTTTTTCTGCGTTTCCATTGCGTTTCCGAAACGTTTCTATTTTTGAGTTGACCGAAACGGTACTTCGAAACGAAATTTTGATCCTTGGTTAGACTTGTAACATTTGTAGACGATCTCTTGGAAGCTATATATACACGGAAATAGTTCTAAGTTTTTCATTATTTTGATAAGTACAAATAGGTGGACAAGAAATTTAGCCCACAAGAGATTTTTTTTTGGGAAAAGAGATTTTCAGAGCTTTGACACCGTTTGAATCTGTTTTCACTGTTGACATGTACTGTTCACAGCCCCTGAACTACTAAACTGACACCAAAACCCCTTTTTCCATTCCAGAACCTTTATCAACTAGACTTATGATCAACGCTTCATCATGCTTCGACTAATCCTGACCAAAATAGTTAATAGTTGCATCAAAACTGTATGGTCCTGCATCAATACTGATGATCCTAGGTGGCAGCTGCCAAGACTTTATGCTATGAGCTCACAGAGGATGCCTTTTGGATTTCTATTCAAGACAAAAGACTGTGTTTTGGGATTTGGAATTTCAATCCATTACTCAGGCAATCGTAAATGATGAGATTAAAAGTTTCCTCGTATAAAAATTTTATGGTAAACAAACTTATTATTACTGTATATGATGAGTTTAATTTGAATCAATCTAAATGGATCCAGTCTATGCCCTAATAGTCATAGAATTCGTATTCAACTTTGAACTGAATCATCTGAGATGGGCCAGAGTTGTTTCTGGCACTATTACAGCAGACATATTTTCTATAAACCTAAGGGTAACGATGATGAAAATTTGAAGGCTGATGCAAAGAGATTTAGGGGGATGTAAGTTCAAATGTACTCTGCTTGGGATTATTAGTATATAACATATGATCTAAATGAGATGTAGCTTCACATAACCAGGATGGTAAGAAATTTTTGTTAGGCTGGAACCATGAAATGGCAGTGGAGGTGAAATTGGGTGTATAAACGAGTGAGTGACAGAACTTGTCCTGATGACATTCAAAAAGTTTAGAGAATTTAGGAACGGTATAAATATTATTAGTTCTTACTCTTAGATTTGTGTGTGCATGACTCTGTAGCTTTCAGGCTAACTCCTGCATGTGAAGTTATTTTTGTGGTTGACAACTGGGTTGTTTAGATGTTGAGTTCATCTTAGAATGCTTAAAATCTTCTGCAGTAGTTGGACTTTGTCACAGAAAAACTGCAAGGTGTTTCAATGTTTGGCCTCTCTATTAGAGGTGCATAGATTTATTTCTGACTTGTCCGTTCCTTTGATGTTGTTTTTGGGTTCCTACAAATCGTGTTGGGTGTTGTTGTATGAGTGCATTACAGTAATACAATGTGTATAAAATCAAGACTACTGTGGGACATGCAAATCTGATCCTAATAAGCCAATGCTGATTTTGGAACATTTTTGTCTCTTGAGTTTTTGTCTGGGATTTTCATTTTACAGCTAAATGCAATGATTGACGCTTATTTCTTGTTTCTTTTGAGTTAAGAAGCAACGGTAAGAATTAATTTCATGAATGGCAGAACACTCAAGAAGTATTGATGAGATAAACGAAAAAAGAATTAGCCTTTGTCTTTGTTATCTGCATAAAGATATCTATTGAGGTTCTTCCAAAAAGGTTGTTTCAATCTTCAAACTAGTTTGAGCACATTCCCCTACTGATGGACTTAAAACTTATTGTGTGCACCATTTTTGCGTTATATTTTTCTCCTTGCCTAATTTTAGTCAATAAAGGACTATTGGCTTATGTATGCTATTATGTCTCCATCAATTTTCTTATTGCTGTGTATACTTATGGTAATTTAGTGAACTCAATTTTAGTCTGGGGTTGACTCTCATTTTAGTTGTGTTCGTGTTATTTTTCATAAACTTTTCTGGTTTTCTTTGACTAAAAATCATCCAATTAGCTTTTATTCAATTCTTACAGTCTGCCAGAGTGGAATTTCCACCACGTGAAGAAAACAGTGTACCATTGTTTACTCCGCCACAAACCCATCCTTTAGTTCACCCTCCTTCAGTGTACGAGGAAGCTGCTGTTCAGGCCTCTCTTGAATCTGATGCTTCTGGGCTCAGGTATAGCGTAATACCAGTTTCCCATTACTTGACTGAGTTCCTTCAATGCACATTTATGTTATTGAAGCTTGTTATGTTTCTTTTTTGTTCTCATTTTGATAAAGCATTGCACTTTAGTTTTGCTAATCTAAATTCCAGTTGTAAATGATCCTCTAATGAACTAATTATGGTGTAGAAACTCAGTTTCGTTGAACATTTTAATCCTGTGGTTCTGTCAACTTTTTTTGATAGGAAATGTCTGGTTTCAGTGCACTCCCTTAGGAATCCTGTTGAATGGTGTGCCCAAATCCTCCATAACTTCTTAGGTGGCCTCCCGTTTTTTCAAAATGATAAATTAGCTTCAGTTAGTGTTTTCAGGTCAATGATTAATCCCAGGGAATATATCAATTTAAAATACTGTATCATTTAATCTCTAAATGCCTCCCCTGAACTTGTATTCCATATTTTAGCATGCAACAGCATGATTTTGAAAGATAGAGTAGCCAAAGAATCACTATGTCGATGGGTAGACCTGTTGCCATGGGTGAATTCCACAAGCAATTGTACTACTCTACTGCATCTGCAATCTTTTCATTGCTACCTATCCATCATTAACTAACATTCACCCGAGTACTTCTCTTGTAACCTCATCCCATTATCTCCATGCTGTTGCAATATCTGCGACCCCTAATGCTGGTGTGTTTGTGCATGCATTAGGTACTAGGTCAGTTACTTTTTTTTTTTTTTTTTGATAAGAATCAAAATTTTTATTAATACTATCAAAAACATGACATAAGGTGAAAATTTGGAGAAGAGATCCAACCACAATGACACAAATTATAATACAAAGGAAAAAAAACATAATAGACAAAACCTACCAAAATTGGGTTGTCTATAAATCACAAACAGCCCTCCATCCAGCAAAAATACAGAAGTGGAATACCCACAAAATCTTTCGTGATTGAGGCCCAAAAGGATGCCGAAAAAAAGGTACGGTTCCATAAACCATCAACCATGTCATTTCTATCTTGAAAAATTTGAGCATTTCTCTCCAACTAAATTGGAACTTTAGCCTTCCAAATTATCAAAGAGGGGGAAAAATTGAAAAAGAAGGATCATCAATCAAGGGACCCGAAGAATGATTTACACGAGAAATACCTGGATGACTCTATTGTCTATCTTCTTTTATCAAGAAACTCTTGATCAATGTGAACATCATTGAGTAAGAAAAGAAGTGAAGTCAAATCAAGAGTTTCTCTATTATTTAAATTCCTACGAATCCCAAAATTCCAAGATAACAAATTTGAACTCGATCAAATCAAAGAAATGATATACATATTATGAGCCCGAGAAACTCGATAGAGACAAGGAAACAAAAGATCCTCTAACTAGGCCTGTCAATGAATTGAATTTTGATCCGAATCCGATTAATTGGATATGGATTGATAAATTTATCGACTATCCGAATCTGAATCTGAATTTGTTGTGTTATGTTTAATGGATTTGGATATATAAAAATCCGATCTGAATTGTATATATACGTTATATTTTTATATTTCACTGGCCGTGAGTTTATATCCACTGACATCGTTTTGTCTACCGCATTTTTTCCATATTGTCTTCTTCTTCCCTATCTATAATTGAAATTGAGGTTAATAGATTTAATTTATGTTGCTTGTTAAGCCTTCAAAGGAGTAAGTATTATATTTTTTTCATTATGGAGTTGAATTTGTGAGATTTTTGTAGGTTGATATTTCTTTGTATATAAACGGAACGGACTGTATTTGCAGACCGGATATTCGAAAGTTAATAGATTCGGATATAGATTAAAAATTTTAAATTCGTCAAATAAACAAATCGTATCGGATCACATAAATTATAATTGAATTCGGATTCAAATATGACAAATTTCGGTCCATATTCGATCTGTTGACTGGCATACCCCTAACCAGACATTTTCCCAAAAAAGGAATTCTCTCTCTATTTCCTACAATAAAATTGACATTAAGAGAAAATTGAGGTAAATACTAAGATATAAATTTAAAAGGACGTCGAAAACTTTCCCGCAACTGTATTAGCAACATATCCATTAGGTTACAAACAATAATTGGTGTAAAAAAAACCACATGCAATAGAGGATTTTGTTCCAAAGGAAATCTCCAAACTCATTTCCCAACTAAGGCCACATTTCTTATTTCAAATTTCCACTAAAAGACCCCCTTTAACCTTAGAATATGAAAATCACCTCCCAATTAATTAAATGATCTTTGTTCCCTTTTCCAGTCTCTTCCCAGGAAAAATAATATCTTATTATTTTTTTAATCTTATGAACAACACTGCTTGACATTTGATAAAGAGACAAAAAGTATACGGGATTAGACCAAAATCAATCTACTCTTTTTGGAAATGAAATCTCTCTTTCACTTATCTAATCTCTTTTTCACTTTTCAATGACAGGGTGCCAAAAAGCTAAGGATAATGGATTCCCATTCTCTTATTGGGCACCCAAAAATATTAGCTAACCTATTGACCTTCTCAGGATTGAAATTATACCCACAATCACATTTTTTCTAATTTTTTTTTTCAAACCTGAAACAATTTCAAATGCATCCACAATTGTCTTGAAATTAAGAAACTTTTTCCTCCTCTCCCGATACACTTGCTGGTATCATATCCATAAAGAGGACCGACATGAATTGATTGCAAGTGCTCATCCTCTGCGATACATCGCGGGTTTGAGTCTGGGAATCACTCTTTACAAACTGATGATAAGACTATCTACCACTCACCTGTCCTAGACTGGGGGAGCCTTGTGATGTCACATATATAAAAGTCGGAGGATAATTGTAAGAATGTGTAGTTCCTGGGGAAAATATTTTCCATTTTACTATCATGCATATATTAGTTGTAGAGTGTTATGTGTAGAAGTTATTTTATTAAGTGAAATTTGGGGCTGAATCCTCCTTAAGAGACTTATAATGAGTTTAGTCCGTTAAAGAAATTTATTTGGGGATAAGTCTGTTTTTAATCTTACTAATAAGTAGTTAAGTCCATTATTTTTTTAAAACTCCAATATATCCTTCCTTGAAATCAACTTTAAATTAGTTTCCTAACTTGAGAATTATTATCTCTTAATTCACTATCAATGAAGATATGTGAATAAATTTTTTTATATAAATTTGAAATTTAAATTCAAAGAACAACTAATACTATATATATATTACCATGTTACTCTCCATGTTACTATTTTTGTGAGGATTTTACTGTTTTTATTGGGCATATTACTGTTCGTGTTATTGTTTTTATTGAGCATGTTACTATTGTTATTTTTTCAAATATTAAGACTCAATATTATTAATTTTTTTGTTTTTGAATATTATTATTTTTTTGTGTTTAAATGTTACTACTTTTTTTTGTGTTTGAATGATACTATTTTTTATGTTTAAATGTTACTATTTTTTTTAATGTCACTATATGTATGTATAGATATATAGTCCTATTCTATATTAATGTTAGTCAAACTGCTAAAATTTAGTAGTTGTTAGTTTTCAAATTTGTTTTAATTAAACTTAACTACTAAGGGTATTTTGGACAATGGAGATCAAAATGGACTTAATATTAAACAAGTTTGCTTGATGGATTTATCACCAAATAAGTCTAGGGATTGGCTTCCAAATTTTCCTTTTATTAAACCCTAAACTCTAAAGATTTAGATCCTTCATTTTTTTTAAACTTCTGCTTATTCACTTATTTAAGTGTTAAAACAAATTCTACTTTTTACAAAGTACTCTAAATAAGTGGTTCTAAACACAATTTTTTTTTTTTTAAGTGTTTATGGTAAGTTATAAGTCGAAAAAGCACTTTCTAGAGTCATCCCAAACACTACCAGCACCTAACAACAATTTATTTCCTAATGGATTTTTTACCCTTTAGGTCATTGACTAAACATAGTTACATTTCTGTAGTTCTCAAGATTGGTTTGTAATGCAGCTTGCTAGAGATTCAAAATGCTCAGGGACTAGCCGACGTGTTATTGGAAATGCTTGGTGCCTTGGGTCCTCAGAATCGTGAGGTTAGAACTATTTCATTTAACTCTTTAATTAGAATAAGAATTTTCTTATTCCCTTTTTCTAAGTTGTTTGATTGTTCAGCTGGGTAGAACTGTTTGTTTTACGAAATTCCATTTATCTTGAGTAAATAGAAATTGCTTATAATTCTAATTCTTCTTTTCAATAACAGGATTAGGATTGGTTGTTCCCATAACCAAAATACAAATGTAGGCTTATGAGTGGTTATGCTAATTATTTTTTTGTGTTCATATTCTCTCTCTCGTACACTCACACGCACACACAGAGTATGCACTTTGCATCTGCTGAGGTTTTTCTTGGAATGTACAACAATGATAAGAAAACAAATTATTAACAAGATTGTAGTAACTATCCTAACCAAGCAAAGCCTCTATTGTTTATTTCTCAAAAGCTTTGCAAACTAGCCTATGTTAAGTTGTTATTTTTATACGATTTTGCTTTATTAGGGTGTTACCAAATTTTAGTAACAAGCTTGTTGTTACCTCTTCAGTGCTTTTAATTGTATTTATTATTGGAGTCAATGATTAGATCATGTGAACTATTTTTGAAGTCTCCATGCATATAAGAAATTTGGCTTTGGCTTAGGCTCTTCTATGAAGTCTATAGATATGTTTGGATCACACAAAGTAATGATATGGATGTTCTATGTGATCAGCAGAGTGTTTCGTTCTCTCATATTTGACTAATGTATGTCAAATCACTCTCATAGTTTATGGCCTTCTTTTGTTCTGGTTAGTTCTGTGGTTGGCAAAACTAGAGTGAATCAAAGTATAAAATTATCTTAATTTTTGTGTTAGCACGTGTTGGTTTTGCTAGACACTCTCCTCTTATGGCTGAAGGCTTCAAAACACGAAGAAGTAGCTTTGTGCAAGTTTAGTAAGTGATAGCTCACATGGATGCTACTCTAAAATCTTGTATCAAATTATTTGATGAGGTGCGGTGGCATAGTTGGTGAGATCAGAGTGAAAGCGGATAGAGTCCACATAAATTGCTCATTTGGATAACAATTATCTCTTTGGAAATTGAATGAGAGATAAAATAGATATTTCTAAGAACCTGGTTGGAAAAGCGTTAGTTAATATTGTTATTGTTGAAAGGATCTACATGATTAGTGCCTGAAAAAGGTCATTACAATAGTTACTAGAATTTACTAAACTGTTGACGACTTATGAACTGGGTACATCGATCTCAAACGAAGTGGGTTCGCAGTCCAAATCACCAAAATGTACAATTTCAAATTGTAATACTAACCCTAAATTGATTCGTTTTGGAACATGTAACACAAATATAATATACATATTAATTGACTACCTGTATATAAATATAATGATAGATAATTATATATTATTTTAGATAGTAGAAAATTGAGCATAATTGTAAGATAAATGGTAACTAACTTTGTGTCTATGGATATTCTATGATATATAATGTTGTATAGTAGTGAAAACGATCTAGATAAAAGTTCCAAAACACCATATTAGCTAAGCCTACCCCCATCGCATCACGTATCTAAGAAATTGTTGTATTGCGTACCTGTACTATGTACCAAAGTGATCCACGATTCACGTAACATTGGTCATTACTCAATTGTCATCATGTTGATTGAGGGTATTAGAAATGGTGGACTGGATACAGTTATAATCTTTGGCACCATAGTGCATAAAATAACTACCCTCATATTCAGACCCATAGTCTTACAGTTGTTAGTGTGGCCAATTTTTCCCATAGCCGATGCTTTGTCATCTGATTCGTTTGATTATACTTTTGAATCACTGAACTTCATGAAGATTTTCATGTGTATTTTGGCCTTTTGATCTTCTTTTGATTTAAATCAAAAGTGTGCTCCCCTTGTTTTGTTAGAAACATCACACGTTCTGTCCAGTCATATTCAGTTGTTCTATATTTGAATTTTGTGGCAGGGTGTAAAGCAAGAGGTGATAGTTGACCTTGTTGACCAATGCCGTTCTTACCAAAAGCGTGTCATGGTTCTTGTGAACAATACTGTGTAAGAATATGGCCCTGATTTTTGACAAGTATTTGATCTTCTAAATTAATGATTGACATTCATGCTTTATTCCTTTTCAGAGATGAGGAGCTCCTGCTTAAGGGACTGGCGTTGAATGATAGCCTGCAGTGTGCTGTTAGCTGGCATGATGAGATTGCGTATGGAACTCCTTCTGTTGGAGTAAGACTAATGGAAACTCCAGTTGCACCTCTTATGAATGTGAATCACGAGGATGATGAGTCAGAAGATGATTATGCCCAGTTAGCGCATAGGTGATACTTATGACTTATCTTTTCATGTTTCGTTTTTGGTTTCTGTCAAGTCATAGTGGTGCATGCCATGCATGTGGCTGCTTCTAGCAGCACACAAATTTGATGAACTTAGTGTCTGATAGCTGCTAAGAATTTTCATTTCAGATAAATACATAAATTTTGAATCTGGCCTTTTCATCAGTTGAGTACATATTTCTGGACAAGTGGAAAATTTTGAGTGTAAAACTGAATTTGAAGGAGAGTTCAACTTTTTTGATGATGGTAGTACACTTTCCAGATAGCATTTTGGAAAAAGAAAACAAAAGCAAAATGTCATCATAGGTTGGCCTTTGAAGGCAAACTTTTTTGTGGCATTACAAGCCAGCACGGCCAAAGCTTATTTTTGCTTGGTGTCGTGTACATAGGTTATCTTCTCACTGTATCAAACAAGACCCTTAGTTCACCGAGAATCTGGATTCTGGAGCTCACACATCAAGCAGAAGAGATTAAATAATGCATCTTACTTTTGGGTTTGAAATTAACTCCAAGTATGTCATGTAATTGTTTTAAGTACTTGTCGGAAGTCTGTGCATTTTGCTGGATTGAAAAAATGAGGAAAGATTTAATCCTACATATATCAAAAGATTCAAAACAATGAAAGCAAATCGAACTTCCACTTTTATTTTATATAGCAGATTCAAATCATGTAATTATGGATTTTGTTGTCAGTTGATTTTTTGTTAAAGTTAAATACATAATACTTATATTAATCAATAATTACTACATAAATTATTTAGACCATAACAAAAGAGCCTTGTGTTATGGAAAGACAGAGGAGGGAAAAGGGAGAAGAAAGGAGGGAGATAAGAGACGTAGTAGGAAGGAGAGGTTATTAATGTTCTTTTCGTATTTATGTCTTTTTGTAGTACAATTAGGCTTTTAGTTCAATTTTTTCGCACGCCAACTCTTAAACTAGGAAACATAGATATGGACACGGTTGTTGTATCCAATACGATGTAGACATGGAGATACGACAAAGTTTGAAAATATAGGACATGATACAACAAGAATACGACTAATTAAAATAATATTATATATTTTTTAGATAAGAATAAAATTATATTGTATTAAAAACAAAACATTTTATAATAATATTAATAATAAGACCTAATAAATATTTATTTTTTGATTAAAATTAAAATAGATCAAAATGAACATCCACTATTTTCATTGAATATCATATCCATTAGTATTCATGGTCCACAATTCACATAAAAAACAAAAATAAATAAAAAAATCACACCCCTCTTAATAGTTAACAGTTGTTTTGTTTTAAAAATAATCCTATCCATGTTCTGACCGTGTCCGACTGAGTTCACTATTTAAGACACTTCTAACTGTGTCGGACACGTGTCTGACACTGTCACGACACCCTTCGGGAAATAGCCGTGCTTCCTAGCTCTCAAATTAGGCACGTGTCTTAATTTTTGTTAATTTGAACGAAGTTTGTAACCGTTTCTCTTTAGTCCAAAATAGAACTATGTGGTTATATTTTGGATAATATGAAAGATAAAGTTCTACATGTCCAAACCACAAGGGGTTGAAATAGAGTTAACCCTTATAGTTTTGTTGAATTGTATGGTGAAAAATATATGGTAATAATCCGAAAAAGGAAAAAAAGAAATAAAAAGTATTGGATGAAGTGGGACATAAAATTTGAATTTGACCTTTTGCTATATGGTAATTAGAAGTGGAAAAAAGGAACTCTTTGAAGAGTTTATGGTATATCAAAGTTAAAAGACTAAAGATCAATTTCTGTTGTACTAGTTTGTATTTTTAGGTACTAGTTACTGGCGAGATGGACCCACCTAGAGGTGTTGAGAGTATTATTATTATGTTGTTATCTCTTAAGGGTATATCCATTATTTGTATGTTTACGAGATAACTATAAATACAAGTTATTAGTGAGAGGTAGGTTAAGTTTTTGATCATTCACCGTTTCTCTAATATTGTGTTAATTCTCTAAACTTAACATGGTATCAGAGTACGATTGACCCAAAATTTGATCTAAGAATTTTTTTCTTCTCTTTTTTTTTTTTTTTCGTTTATGTTTCTGTTTCATTACTCTGATTCAGCATACAGTGTAACCCCACGACCATGGTCTAGGGTCGTAGGTGATGGTTTAACGTTGGACTCCTTGTGAGTGTGTTGTGGAGGTCAATTGTGATTAGGTGTGGGCTGTAATTGCTGTTGGTGACGTATGTCGTCATTGTGTTGCGACGTGTGTCGTAGTCTATGATCGTGGTAGCCGTTGTGTTGTGGTTGCCTCTGTGTTGTGATTACCAGTGGTGATCGTCATTCGTGTATTGGATTCCAGTGGTTGTCGTCATTTGTGTATTGGTTGTGTTGATGCTTGTCACCAATGGTCTGGTATGGTGCCTTTGTCGCTGCCAGAGTTGTTTGGTATTTCTGGTGTGGCTGCTGGTGTGCTTTGGTTGAGGCGTAGTGATCGAGTTGTTGTTACTCTACTTAATTCCATTGTTGTGTTGTCACTAGTGGCTTCGTTGGGTGTGTTGTGGTGGTCACCGGTGGTTGGAAGTAGTTGTCGTGGCCTGGGATTGGCCTAGTGTTGCACGCCGTCTGCAGCAGCTAGGGTTCAACAGAACCCTTCTACGTGGAGAAGACGAAGTCCGTTGGGAACTAGGTCGATTCATTTGATTATAACCCATCAGAGGGCTCAGCCCAATCCTCAATTAAATGCCCTTTGCCCAATTATTTACTGGCCCACAAACTAAATTAATTGCCCAGTCCAATCCAAGGCCCACAGTTCAAGCCCAAACCTTCAGGACTTTAGCCCAGCTCAAGTGAGCCCAACATATACTGGGTTCAGGTTCAGACCGGTTCAGTTCACTTTTTCTTAGACCGGTTCAGGACCAGTTCACCTTTTCTCAGACCGGTTTAGGATCGGTTCATTCTAGCTCAGCCCTTTCAGACCAGTTCTGGTCTGGTTCAATGGTCCAGCAGTTGATTCTGGTTCGGTTCAGTGTTCCAGCAAACTTGGTCAGTCCGGTTCAACGTTCCAGCAGGCTTATTTAGCCCAGTTCAGTGGTCGAGTAGTTGGTTCTGGTCTGGTTCAGCATTCCAGCAGGCTTGTTCAGTCCGATTCAATGGTCTAGCAGTTGGTTTTGGTACGGTTCAGCGGTCCAGCAAGCTTTTTCAGTGTGGTTCAGCGTTCCAGTTGCCTCTTTTGTCCTGTTCAGCCTCCCTACTCTGCTATTCCGTGCTATTCTTAAGGTCTTTTCTCACCTTTGTTCTTATTTGGGTGCTCCTACTTGTTATATTACTATGGAATCCAAGCAAGACACTACCACTTTCTCTCTATCTACTCTCGTATCATGGTTTGTTCTGTCTGACTCTAAGTTAGTCATTATCATACGAGAGGAGTATGCTCGTATGCTCGTTCGTGGCTTGGCAGCAGGTTTTTCCATCTCCCATTGTTACTTTTGCTCAGTCAGGTACCGCTTTCATTTGTTTACTGTCGTCTACATGCAGTCCTTGGGCCATAGACTTCGGCGCTTCTGATCACTTGATTGGTTTGTCTGGTGTATTTTTTACTTATTGTTCTGTTACTTCTCCACATAGTGTTACCCTTGCTAATGATACTTTTTCTAAGGTTTCAGGTTTGGGGATTACTCAATTGAGTCATGCTATGTCCTTATCGTCTGTTTATTTGTCTCTCAGTTTCCTTTTAGCTTACTTTCCATTAGCAAAATTACCTATTCTCTTAATTGGTCATTAACTTTTTATTCATCTTATTGTGTATTTCAAGATTTTTTTTCGAAAAAGAAGATTGGTACGGGGCATGAAGTTGGTAGCCTCTATTATTTTGTTTTTCATTCCCCTTCTCGAGCACTTTAGACCTCATCATCTCCCTTTTAGCGGCATTGTCGTCTTGGTCATCCCTTCCTCAAAAATCTGAAGCGTCAAATTCTCAGCCTCAGTTTTGTGTCTTCTATGTCTAGTGAAGCTTGTCAACTTAGTAAGCATCGCCGTGTGTCCTTTCAGTCGAGAGTCAATTAACATATGTTTAGTCCGTTTGAGTTAATATATTTTGATATATGGGGTCCAATAAAGAATATTTCTTCTAATAAATTTTCTTATTTTGTATCATTTGTTGATGATTATTTTCGTGTGATTTGGTTATTTCTTATGAAAACTCGTTTTAAATTATTTTCTATATTTGAAACATTTTGTAAAGAAATAAAAACCCAATATAATTGTCGTATTTGTATTTTATGTTCTTGTAATACTTGTGAATATGAATCTAATCATTTTTCAGTTTATCTTTGTAAAATTGGTATTATTCATCCGACCTATTGTGCCTACACATTTCAGCAAAATGGTGTCGCCAAGCGAAATAACCGTCATCTGTTAGAAGTCACTTGCACCCTGTTATTCTAGATGAATGTTCCTCGTTATTTTTGGAGTGATGTTCTCATTGTTTGTGACCTTATTAATCGTATGTCATCTTCTGTGCTAAATTGACAAAGTCTATATAATGTCATTTTCCCAGATACTCCCTTATTTTTCTTAACTCTTAAAGTCTTTGGGTGTGTCTGTTATGTTCATAACTTGGGACTCGGGTTTGGTAAACTTGACCCTCGTGCTACCAAGTGTGCCTTTCTTGGATACTCTTGCACACAGAAGGGATATCGTTGCTATAGTTCCACTCCCCGTCGGTATTTCACTAGTGTTGATTCACCTTTAATGAAACTATTCCGCGTCTTTTAGTTCTTGATCAGCCTTTAGATCTTGACTTTGGGACGTCCACTACACCACCGCCCCTTCCTTTTCTGCCGACTATTCGGCTGCCTACTGTGCTACTATCTACTTCTCTGCTTCGTGTATACTCCCGTTGTCCACGATCATTGACTGAGGTGCCCTTGTCGTCTCTTGATCCTAGTTCCCCATGTACTTCTGACTCTTTACCTATGGCTCTTTGGAAAGGTCCTCGATTGTGTTGTTAATTTTGTTTCTTATGATGTCTTGTCTCTTGTCTTCTCTTGCTTTACCTCTCAACTGTTTACTATCTCTATTCCTAAAGTCTTACCGGGTGCGTTGATTGATTCAAGTTGGAGAAAAGTTATGAAAGTGGAGATGTATGCTTTCATCATAATGAGACTTAAGATCTTATTCCCTTACCGCCTTGTAAATAGACTGTTAGTTATAGATGAGTGTATACAGTTAAATTTAATCCGAATGGTTATATTGAGCGTCTCAAAGCTTGTCTTGTTGCTAAGGGCTTTACTCAAACCTATAGTATTGATTATGAGGAGACTATTCTCCTGTTGCCAAAATCTCTCCTCTTCGTGTATTGAGTTCTTTGCCTGTTATGGTACTTATTTCAGTTAAATGTCAATAATGCCTTCTTACTAAGTGACTTGACTGAGGAAGTCTATGTGAAGCAACCACCTGAGTTTACTGCTTAAGGGGAGTACTGTAAGATGTGTGTCGGTTAAAGAAATCTCTGTATAATTTGAAGCAGTCACCGGGAGAATGATTTGGTAAGTTTTCAGATGCAATTTTAGAGTTTGATCTACTTCAATGTCAAATAGACCACTCTGTCTTTTAAAGACAAACTGATGTAGGGTATATTCTATTGGTTGTTTATGTGGATGATATTGTCATTATTAGTAATGATTCTGAGGATATTGCCAAGTTAAGAATCTTTCTGCAGGATCGATTTCACACTAAAGGTCTAGAAAAATTCAGGTATTTCTTGGATATTGAGGTTGCCAGATCTAAGTAAAGTATTTGTTTATTTCAGAGAAAATATGTATTTGGCATGTTGGGAGAAACAGGTTTGCTGGGTCGCAGACAAATTGATGTTCTTATGGATGCAAATCAGAAGTTGTTAATGGATGATGGTGCACTGATTGAGAATCTGGGTGGGTACCATAGGTTGATTGGAAATCTCAATAATCTCATTATTACCCGTCTAGTTTTTGCTGATGCAGTTAGTGTGGTAAGTCAGTTAATGAGATGCCCTAGAGTCCCACATTGGGAGGTAATTACTCGCATCCTTTGATACTTCAAACGTGCACCTGGTCTTGACTTGTTATATCGAGCCAGATTGGATATCAACCATTGGTTATTCTGCTTTCTTGGGAGGTAATGTTGTTACATGGAAAAGTAAGAAACAAACAGGGGTAGCAAGATCCAGTGTTGAGGCCGAGTATAGAGTAATGACACATACAACTAGTGAGTTGATATAGTTATTACACTTCCTTCTAGAAATTGACTTTCCAGTTCAGTCTCTTTTACAATTGTTTGTGATAATCAAGCGACTATTCATATTGCTGCTAATTCAGGATTTCATGAGAGGACCAAACATTGAAGTTGATTTTCACTTTATTTGAGACAAGATAATAGTTGGAGACATTATAACTCTATTTGTGAGATCTGAGGATCAACTTGCAGACATGTTTACTAAAGCATTGAATCGTACTTGTCTTACAACCATCTGTTCCAAGTTTGGATTATATAATATATATAATACGAGTGTTGAGAGTATTATTATTATGTAATTACCTCTTAAGGGTATATCCATCCTTTGTATGTTTACGAGATAACTATAAATACAGGTTGTTAGGTGGAGATAGGTTAAGTTTTTGGCCACTCTCCGTTTTTTTAATATTGTGTTAAGTCTCTAAACTTAACAAGAGTGATGTTAGTGAAGTTGGTGTATATTGTTGACAGAATATGTAGTTTCTTAGGGTATAAATTACTAGTAATGCCCAATTAGATTATTATAGGGTTGTTAATGAAGTTAGTGTTATATTGTTGACAGTTGAAGTATACACATTAGTAGCCTGTTGGTAGTTTGATTTTATTGCACTTATAGGTTTCTGCTTCTAAAGTGCCAAGTTTACATGCAAAGAGTTGCAACTTATATCATCATCCTTCTAGTTTGCATGTATTATGTGCTAGATAGAAATGGCATAAACACTGATGGTAAAGAAAATTTCAGTGGCCTTAGATTAAATCCTGGTTTTCACATAAAAATGGTTTGTCTGTGCTAGTTTTAATCCTCTTATCATTTGTGCATTTTCTCAACAGAATTAGATCTAGAATTTCCCTTGGCCTTGTCAGCAATGCATTATAATTTTTTTACCATTAAGTTTATGTAATCTTATCACTGCAGATCATCAAGGGATTCATTGGGTCAGGAACGAAAGCCAGTCAATGTCAAGAACGAACCCGCACAAGTCAGCCCCCTTATTCCTCCTCCACCATCATCAAGAAAGACAAGTACTACAAATACTGGGATGGTTGATTACCTTAGTGGTGATGTCTACAATTCTGAGAGATCTTCTAGAGTATCAGGATCCACAACTATTGCAGTCCCAACTCATTCAAACAACACAAAGTCCATCCCACCATTGAATTCAACTCTCTCTGCACCATCCCCTCCTGACGATTACATAAACCCGACTGCGCCCATGTTCATGGGAAAATCCAATTACAGTGAACCAGCTCCGATGTCCAAATCTGCTGATCAGTTGCCTCCAGCTCCGTGGGATGTTCCCTCCCCTGGCACACTTCCACCCCCACCATCCAGGTATAACCAGAGACAACAGTTCTTCGAGCAACAGTATGTTGGCGCCTCTCATTCAAGTAGCGGATCAGGTTCCTCTTATGACAGCTTAGTTGGGCAGACCCAGAGTCTATCCCTTAAGTCAACCCCAACCAAACAAGAAACAACTGAAGATGCACTCTTCAAAGATCTGGTTGATTTTGCAAAAGCTAAGTCTTCATCATCTTCGAAACCAAACAGATCATTTTGAGTTCCTACGGTTTGTAAGCATTATTATTGGTGGAATAGTTTGATATTTGTTAGTTCATCAGCATTTACGTCTTAAGACTCTTGAATAAATGTGGGTGGGAACTTGGGTCATGGTTGCCAGTGCTCTTTAGCTGGCTTTTAATGATATGGAGACTTGGGCTGTCTGTTCACCAGTGGCTAATAGTGTAGCTGAGAGTAGACAAACACCTTCGTAGATACGAGTTTGTGAATATATATTGTTTGTTTGTTGATTGTCAAGTGGCTTGTGGTTCTTTGTAACTCCGTTTGCTTGTTTTCTCTTCCATTTTTTCACTATTTATTGTTGGCGACTTGAGTTCCCAGTTGTCTTTTTCCCTGGACTTAAATTGATGAGTAGATGGTGTCGAGTTAAATGAACTCAATACAATCTCGTTCTAAGTCTCAATGCAAGGGATAGTAGTATACAATCACTGCTTTTTTTTTTTTTTTCTGATTAATGCACAGTCACTCATTAAACTGTTGCCATTTGTTCCATAAATTTCACTTTAGTGGATTACAAACCTTTGTTTACACTTAATCTCTGCTTGTGTAGAAAGAAGCAAATGGATGAGCATTTGCTTTAATTTCCATTTTGATATGAATCTGTAGAGATTTATCGCAATGAAGAGTCAACTACTTCAATTTTGGATAATGTAACCATAGCATATGACAAAACATTTATGGAGGGGTGAATCTTGAGAGAATCAATCTAACTAGGCTATAGTGAGTGGCATGAGCATTTGCTTTTTTATAGCACAAAGAAAGAGAAAAGGGCTAGTTAAGGTGGTTATCATTGTTGCAGAAAAGGAAGTAAATGGCATGCAGGCTGGCGAGCTTCATAGTCTGGAAGAGAGAAGCAAAGATACGGCGCTTGATGCTTCCGCTAACAGGAGGCAATGGGACTTGTATGACTATCTTCTTGCTCATAGCAGCTTCATGTGCCTTCTTTTGTAGTTCCCTCACCTCCATCGTCTTTGTCATTGCTATGGATACTTGCAAATGCAACCAGGTAGAGAGAGAGAGAGAGAGAGAGAGAAAAGAGGATGAAGGGGGGGGGGGGGGGGGGATAAGTGGAAGAAACAAAGAGAAGTGAGTTTATAGTGAATACTTGGGGAGAGAATTTATAGGGAATGGAAAGGTGGGGTCGTTTGGCCACCTTGGGACTAGTGGTTTGGTCGGTTGGGTCTTTTTTTTTTTGGGGGGGGCTCTTGACAAGGAAAGGGAAAAAAAGGCAAGTGAACTGTGTGTCACGCATACACACAGAAGAGAAAATATTTGATGTAACAATCATATCACATCATCAATGTTATGTGGTGTCATCTATAAAGTACGGATATTTTGTAGAAGTTGACGTACCCGTATCGGATATCGTATCTGATACGATACTCGTCGGATACTCAAGGATATGCATCGGATACACATTCTACGTATCCGATAATCTATATAATAAAGTAGCTAGATTTATTTGTCTTTAACTTTTCGCGGCTCAGATCGCGTGAAAAAATATTGATTCGACAGTCCTAATTCGAAATGTCCTCTCCTCCTAATTTTTTGAGCAAGACTTTTATTCATTCATTTTACAATTCTAAGATTTCTATCTCTCTTATAACTCTTATCTCTCTGTATCTCATATTACACATTAATTAGGTCATTAATTATGATTCTAATTAAAGATTATTTTTAAAAATTTTAAATGAACAAATGGACCTTAAATAAATATTCTGTGTCAAAATGAGTCAAATGACAATAATATAGGTCATATTTTGTATTGAAATAAAAATACTATAATATTCGAATGGTATAATAGGCGACTAATATATATGTAATGTGATATATCTATATACTAAAGGGACTATCATTATTTGTCTTGAGTTTTTTGCGGCTCAAATTGTTTTAAGATTATTGATCAAACGATCGAAATTCCTCCGCTAAATTTTATTTTACTCGATTATTGGTTTGAAATGATTATGATTAGTATTTGAATTGAGCTGAATTTAATTGTCGAGTATAAAATATATATTATTACCTAAACTTAACATTGCTTGAATTTTACGAGTATTCAAGTTAAAGTCAAAGTGAAGTTAATTGTAAAAATAATAAAGAATAACTAAATTACAAAAAAAAAAGAAGTTATGACATCACAGTAAGCAAGAATATATAAGAATTAGTTTGTAGGTTTAAGATAGAAGTTTTAATTGAGTCGAACTAAAATTCAATTATCTGTTTGACGTAATTATAATTAAGACTTGAATTGAATTGAATTTGACTATCATGTATAAAATATAAATTATTGCTTAAACTTAAAGGGTGGGGATACTCCCACCCCCAAATTTTCATTTTCACCCTTATTTAATTTCTCATTGGTAAACTACTAAGTCTACACTTTTCATACCCACCACATACTACATACACCCCTTTCAAAAAAAAAAACAAAACAATGAAAAAAAAAAAAGAAAGAAGCAAACCTAAACAAAAAAGGAAAAAAAAAAATCAAGCAAAGATTAAATGAACAAATAAAACTACAAAACACAAAACTACAAGACGCAAAATCGGATATGAAAAAAAAAGGGTATCAAGCACAAACACAAAATCGAACAAGAAAATAAATAAGAAGCATAGATACAAAACCTAAACAAGATAAAAAAAAAACAACAAATAATCTAAAAAAGCATACATATAGATACACACATATAAATTTTAAATAAAAAATTATTAAACTTGATAAAGATATTAAAACATACCAAAAATAATAAAAATTCATACAACAAACATGAAATCAAATTTATAATTAAATTGAAAAGTAATACTAACATGTATCTCACTGAAAAAATTCATATTAACAAAGTATTTTTGTTAGTGCATGAGATGAAATAGAGAATGAAACCCTAATTATGATAAAATATAGGATGAGTTTATTTATTAAACGAGGTGTATGTAGCATCAGGTGTACTTAATTACTAATGGAATGAGTATAAAAGAGGTAGAATTAGTAATTTAATAATGAAAAATTAAATGGAGTGGAAATAGAGATTTGTGGGGGTGAGAATAGCCCCACCCAAACTTAAATTCAATTAAATTTTACAAATATTTAAGTTGAACTCAAATGAAAACTGATTTTAATTACTCAACAAAATCTTCTACATCTACGAGAATTCACGCAAAATTTTTGGATGTTTTCCTCACAAAAATTACATAAACTCACATAAAATTTGAGATAAAGTTTATTAAAAATTTTAAAATTATGGACGTTTAACCAATAATAATTATATTTTCTTAAATTTTTGAATTAATATGTTGCAGTAGTGATAGCGTGACTTTCGTTATATAAAAGTTTGATTATATATGTTCTGCATATAAGTTGAACAATATTAATTTAATCGTTATATTGTTGAAATTGTATTATATATTGCCTTTATTTATGAGTAACGTAGTGCCTTCAGACACGAGTAATTATTATCAATTTATGAGTAACATAGCGTCTTCAGACACGACTAATTACTAATAATTAAATATTATGATACTTTACGAATACTTTTATAGTCGAGCAACATATATAATTTTTTAGTTAAACTTTTAACATCTCTTTTCGAATTCACATACCATACAATATATTAACAAAAAATTCATATTACTTCAAAGGCACATGAGTATTTTTTAAGTATGATCTACAATTACATGTCAAAAGAGTATAAAATAAAGCTATTACATTATAATCTTAGCAAAAATTACTTCTAAATACTAGGTAAATATTAGCTTTGATTCATTTAATTAGTCACTTCACTTTATGAATATACCACAGTGACACGATATATATTTTCTTAAAACTAAAAAAAATTACTAATTTTCTTTATTATATGTTAAAGAACTAACAAAATATAAGTATTAAGTTGGTTGAAAATAATAAAAAAATATTAAAAATATTTTATTATAGTCATATTTTGGCCGTACTCGTATCCTACTTTTTTAGATTTTATCGTATCGCTATATCCGTATTGTATCGTACCCGTATTCTGTATTCGTATCCGTGCTTCATAGGGTGTCACCAACTAATGATAGAATATTAAGTGGATTTAGTGAGTTTTACTATTTTAATATCTACCAATAACCACATTTGCCATGTTTGAATAGTAAAGTTCATCAATCCTATTTATTGTTTTATAATTGGCTGGTGACATCATGTGACATTAATGACACCACATCATTGCTACACCAATTTTTACAAGAGGGAGGGAGAGAGAGAGAGAGAGAGAGAGTGTGTGTGTGTGTGTGTTGTGATGATCGAGGGAAAAACTGTTCTCGAAAAAGCAAAAGATCACTCTTTTGTCTAAGGATGCCTAACCACCGCACCAACCATTCGGCGAGGGGGGGAAGGGGGGGGGGGACTACGAGGTGTGTAGTTAGGGTGAATGTACCTTCCTATCATCTATCATTCTATGAATTATATGAGAGGAAACTTTGGCTCTTCCATGTACAATATGTTTTAGAGCCAGCAAACATAACCCAAATCTATCTATTATTAGATGAACGAGTACATAGTTATTGCGCATGATTAGACATTTAATAATTCATAATAAGTACATGCAGGTGACAAAGGTCATGTGCTTGGCATATGGACTATTAGGAGCTTTGGGTAAGTTGGATTAACCGAACTTGGTCAACAAATCAATTATGACAATACGTTCAAAAATGGCTTTGCCCTAGCTGACCCAATGTGCTCGGTCAAATAAGTCAAACCAAACTGAACCGTGCAACAATTCAAACGAAGTAATAAGAGTGGATAAAATCCCGCTCTTATTGATAGGGGAAAAATTAGGCAATCCCAAGAAATTAGAAGACGGGACTAAGTTGGTAAGGAAGTTGTTGAGATTAAGGTGAGCATTATCAACGTGTCCAAATAAATAGATGAATAGGGAATGCTAAGAGAGATTTTAGTAACATTCACTGAAAATCCCGCATAACATGGGGTGTAGCACCTCACCTCTCCAATGGCGGAAGCCCTAACAGGAGGGAGACCTTATCATACTATGAAAATCAGCTAAAGTTTAACTCAAAGGTACACACTACTTTTCTTGTAAGTAGCTCTGATTACATTACCAACTTATACTGACTTATGCATTGAAGTGTCTTCAATCGACTCTCCTCGGTATTTGACAGTTGGTTCATTTTTTAAGAGGAGCGGTGCACCCTTTCTTGTTCATTTGTTCCCGATCAAATCAATAAGTTTGTAAGAGGTTCTTTTTACCACTTACATTACATTACAACTAGAAGTTGAATTTTCAACTAATAAAAACATAACAATAGTCAAGATTGAACTCAGTTTTATTTAGTTTGATCAAATGATACAAAATTCATTTCAAA